GGACACCTTCCACTAGAGCACGTTGCTCCAAGCCCCTGTGTCCAACCTGGCCTTGAACACTGCCAGGGATGGGGCAGCCACAGCTTCTCTGGGCACCCTGTGCCAGCGCCTCAGCACCCTCCCAGGGAAGAGCTTCTGCCTCAGAGCTCATCTCAATCTCCACATTTTCATCTTAAATCGATTCTCTGATCTCAATGACCAGAGCAATTAGAGCCATTTAAGCCCCTCAAAAGCTTAAGCACTTCATTAAGTCTTAACAAAGACAGGTTTTACCTCTCAAGATCTCGTGAAACAGTCATCTCTCTTTTAGTCACTTCTGCTTAAGGGGCCCAAAGCTCTGAATTACATGTCAGGCTTGGAATGCATTTTTTCCAAATGCATGAGAAAGTGCCAGGGTGCCTCATCCCACTGCCGGGATGTCGCCAAGGAACACTCATCATAGCCCTCCTGAGTCACAGCACAGGATTAGGGTATGGAGACATCAACATGTCTGATGTTCCACAGGGACATGCACTGAGCGAACCCCTGAGGAGGCAGCTCCTGCCCGACCACTCCAGGAAGAAATAGAGGAGACAAGGAAGGAACAGGAGGAAAACATGAGATGGTTACACAGCAAGCCATGCCCTGGCCCAGGTCCCAGCCACTCAAGGTGAACAACTTTCATTCTGAACATTTTCACCCAACTTTCACAATAGCTTATTATTTCACAGTGCTGTTGAGCAAAGTTTGCCTTTCTCCTCGGTGCCCTGGGGATCTTTCCCAGATCCACATTTCCACCTCTGGAAATACAAAGCCTTGAAAACAAGAACCCAGATAAGTCACTTGAAAAGGAAAATAAGCCCCAGCATCCAACAATTAGACAGGTCCAGTCACTATGAGCCAATTTTGCAGTCTCCTTGGCTGCTTCTAGCACAAATGTAACTGTGCCCGTGTCTGAGTGATCCCAAATTTCTTTAGAGCATTTAGCCATGCACCAGCCACACATGATTTTAGAGCTATGATTGTATGTCTTTTAGACTGAACTTCCTTATTTCATTTGAGGACTTCACACCCGGGTGCTTGAAGACAAGAAAAGCAAGATGCCTAAAAGTTAAAGACAAAATAGTTGGCAAGGAAATCTGTCCCCAGGTGAAAGAATCCCAGGATAAGACAAAGTGAGATGCTGCGCACAGGGGAAGGGGAAAAGCAAACCTGCCTCCGTGCTGCCCAGCCTCCCCATTCACAGACTCCTTTTAGCAGCTTCTCACTAATACATAGTGGCTGCAGTCATTCTGCTTCCTTTCCAGACCTCTGGCATATTAAGAAGGAAAATCAGCCTGCTCAGTGCTCCTACCCCAGCAGAAAGGGTCAGAGTTGTTAGTACGTGTTCAGCTCCCACTAGAAAGTTCATCTGGAAAACAGCAGCACTCACCTCTGCAAGGTAAAGGATGCAGAATTTCCGATCTTCTGAACCTATAAATAAGGAAAAAACAGGATGAGAATTCAGCTACAACTGCATTTCTGCAAGCAGAGCCACGGGCGGAGGAGCTGGCGGGGAGACAGCCTTTAATGAATATTTATTGTTGTCACCCCACAGTACCAGGCTGTGATGTGGAGTGATGTCTGCTGCATCTGCAGGGCCATGCACCAGGCAGGCTGCGTCGCATGGTGTTTGCATGGACTCACTGTGCTATCATGGATTCTCCTTTGGGATTGTCCTTTGGGGTTTGCCTCATTCAGAGCACGTGCAGCCTGATTCCTCCCCAGTACTGCAGAGGCCTGGAAGTGCACATGGAGCTGTCCTGGATGCCTTTGGGTCTCATCCCTCTGTGGATGCTTTGCTCCCAGGAACACTGACCAGAGCAGCTCCCGTTCCTACATCCTTGCTCATTCCCAGCTTGCAGCCCCAGGCCCTTTGTAAGGCTGGTGGCAGCTCTGCCCAGGGCTGTCTGGCCCAGCCTCCACCAGTGCCAGTGGCTGGGGTCAGCACCTCTCCAAGGAGAGGGAGCCAAATCCCAGGGCAACGGGAAGTGGCTGACATGGGGCAGAGCTCATCCTGCTCTACCAGGCTGCGGGCAAACTCCCCAGGCTCCCACCAGTGTGGGGCTCGGGAGACCTGGCCAAGAGACTTGCACTTCCACAACTTTGGGAAAGGAGATGGTGTTGGAGGCAATGCAGTGACCAACATTGCGATCCACATCTTACAAGACTATGGAGAAGCCCAGTACGGTTCATCATCTTGGCGCCAGCTATCCCAGGGGATGTGTCATGCCCCGGCTGCTCCACCAGGCTGGTTTCTTCAGGCCTGGGCCTCCCCGTACCCAACAAA